ACTTATCTAATTGGTGGGGAAGGGGGGGAGGGGTAGGGGAGGGGTAGGGGAGGAGGGAGAGGAGACTCGTCAGTTCGAATGTATATAAAATAAGACTAACAAGTTCCAGGGGGTTAATGGACATAGTGATAAGACAGCGATGGTGGTTAAAGAAACAGAAGACTGCGGTTGTGCAGACATACGTCAATTGTTTTATCATACATTGACACATTTGTTGGACCGGGGAGAAAATATTATTGTTATTGCATTGCCTTAGGTGAACGTTTCTACGAGAAAACTTATTGTAGGCTGCTTGAAGGGTTCCCGTCATTCTCTCCTCTGTCCTGTGGTGGACTGCGGTCATTTCTGTGGAGGTGTGCTTCAAGCCCACACGGATATAGTTTAAGGTAAGGGTGTCTTTTCAGAGACGCATCTGGTGGCATTATATGTAAAGGATAGGCCCTATCTTGTATCTGTCAAGGTTTCTTTAGTGTGTTTAGCAACGTGGACACTGCAAATGTGTCCAACTTATCATGCATTTTTATTTTGTTTTGCTTTTTTTCCCCACCGTCGCTATATTTATGTTTTTACTGATGAATTTTTTTCTTTGTGGTCACCTCCAAATTAAACCAATAAACAAAGAGGAGGAATCAAACACCGGCATCAAGTATAGAATATACTGAAGACTTCAACATTTTTATTACGTTCCAAAATTGTTCACTTTTCCATTCAACACTCATCAAAATGTATTAAAAGACAAACAAACAAACAAACAAACAAACAAACAAACAAAACAGCAGCAACAACCACCACAGCCCTCCCCCCTTCAAAACAATGAACAGCAACATAATATAAAAGAAACCACAAGGAAGTCTAAGGTCTTCCCATGGGCGCCTCTCTTGCAAATGTCAACCCCCTCCCCAAAAAAAAAGAAGAAAAAAGCAGAAAAAAAGCAACACCCCCCAACAACAACAAAAATAACAACAACCAAAAGCAACAAAACAAAACAAAACAAAACAAAACAAAAAACCCCGCCAAGTTCAAGAGCCTATCGAGAAATATCGAACGCAAACTATCATTTTACGCGGAGCCATTTTTTTGCAACACGGCGCTGTTCTGTTCACGGGTATGAATCATGTGTCTGCCACAGTATAGGCTCTTTTCACGGGATTTCTGCCTCAGTGATCGGCGAAGATCACATTACATAGACTGGTGTTGTCACAGTAGTCAGAATAATATGAAAGAACGGAGAGAAACGACACAAGACATAAGGAATAAATGTAATGAATGTCATGGTGCCCTGTATGAGTTCTACTATCCTGCTCGAAGGTGTGGCGCGGACTTCTACTACCTTCCTAGAGTACTTTTTTATTTCCCTTTGCTGTTTCTGTCTGTCTGTCTGTCTGTCTGTCTGTCTGTCTGTCTGTCTGTCTGTCTGTCTGTCTG